GGGGGGGGGGGGTTGGTTCGCTTCCACCACTCAGTTGTGGGGGTTGGGGGGAGAGTAAACGCCCCTTTTGATGACACCGTATGAAACTGTACACCACGTATTAAAAAGAACAACTTTTTTGACGACGCGGGCATTTTTTGTTGTTGTTGTTAAAGTCTCGGGGGGGGGGGTATAATAGAACCGCACGAACTTCTTCAGTTTCTTTTCAGCTTACGATGAAACCCGTGCGGAATCCGGCAAATCTTGACAGCTGCACAGTCCGGTCGTGGGACACGGGCTCAGTTATAATAAAACTGCGCCGGCTGTGCGTCCCTCGTCCAGATGTACTCCACGACGTGCTCCGGATACGTCTGATTGTGGTCGAAGACGACGAACATCTTGGGATTGCAGATGTTGTCCACGCACGTGTCGTACAGTTTCACGAGTGGGTCGCTGTGGTCGTAGGGCGGTGGACGCCTCAGATCGGTGTACCCTTGCGTGTAGCGCCCCACGAGCACGCGGGAAGAGATCATAAAGTGGCTGCGAGGGTGGGCGAAACGGTTGAAGACGGGCCAAATGTCCGACGTGCCCATCTGGAAGGAGGGAGGCTGCTCCGGGAAAACGTTCAAGGGCATGTGGGGCGAGCCGCGGGCCGTTGGTGGCGCGTGTCTCGCGAGGCCGCAGTAGGGAAGATTCGGGTTTAGTGACAGCTGCTGCAGTAGGAAAACATTTGGGTCCAAGTATGGTGGTGGATAGAAGGGTGTGGCGATGGGGGGCGCGATGTTCCAGCGGGCGCTGATTCTGTTGCCGCCGCAGTCTGAGAACGTGTGAGCAAAACTCGCGTCTTTGGCGAAGTAAGTACCTGGAACACACATCAGGAAGTTAACATTGATTAAACTGTGTCTGTATCTCGTTGTTATAGCTATTTAAACTAATACTTTGATATAGTTTGTATATAAGCATGGGCGCAGGATCATATAAAAGAAATGATCCCCAATCATAAAAATATACCGCATAATGAAAAAAAAAACAACTTGGGCATAAATGCTGGCATTGAACATTATTATTATTATTATCATTATTACAGTAGTCTTATATTGCGTGGTACACCATCCTTGGGCTGGGCTCCACGCGCTGCACATAAAATATTAGCAAACATTATCATGACTTTAAAAAAAAATGACACAAATTTATTGAATTAAAAACAGCAGTATACAAAATATATATATATATATATATATATATATATATATTCAACCCGCCAACCACAGAACTATTTACATGTCAAGCCATGGACGGCACCCAGCAGCACCGTTTAGTAAAAAAAAATAACACAAATATATTGAATAAAAAACAGCAATATACAAAATATATATATATATATATATATATATATATATATATATATTCAACCCGCCAACCACAGAACTATTTACATGTCAAGCCATGGACGGCACCCAGCAGCACCGTTTAGCGGTCAGAGGGGGTGGGAATCATTCTATCTATCTTTTGGCCCGGTTAAATAGATAGATTTGACATCTGTTGGCCTGTTTGGGTAGATAGATTTAACATCTATTGACCTGGTTAGGTAAGTAGATTTAACATCTGTTGGCCTTCATGGGTAAGCAGATTTAAGATCTGTTGACCTGGTTCGGTTATTAGATTTAACATCTGATGATTTTCATGGGTAAGCAGATTTAATAACTATTGATGCGTAAGCAGATTTAAGAACTGTTGACCTGGTTAGGTAAGTAGATTTAACATCTGTTGGCCTTCATGGGTAAGTAGATTTAACATCTGTTGGCCTTCATGGGTAAGTAGATTTAACATCTGTTGGACTTCATGGGTAAATATATTTAACATCTGTTGGCTTTCATGGGTAAGTAGATTTAACATCTGTTGGCCTTCATGGGTAAGTATATTTAACATCTGTTGGCCTTCATGGGTAAGTAGATTTAACATCTGTTGGCTTTCATGGGTAAGTAGATTTAACATCTGTTGGCCTTCATGGGTAAATAGATTTAACATCTGTTGGCCTTCGTGGGTAAATAGATTTAACATCTGTTGGCCTTCGTGGGTAAGTAGATTTAACATCTACCTTGACAAGAACAAAGCTCCTGGCTCTTCACATAAGTACATCACACTATTTTTTAAATTGTTTACACCCTGCCTCACCACTGTTACAATCTGTCACAAAATCTCGCACCCCCCCCCTCCCCCAACCCTCTCCACAAAAAAAGTACTTCACACTTTCAAACTAAAAATTTATTAAAAGTAAAGAAAAAAAATTACGAATTAATATCTAATTTAAAACGTACTTATAAAAGTGACATCTTCTGTCACAACACATCCATCACAACAGCAGGTTCAATATCACTTTCAATCTCAGTTTTTATATGTTTTTACACCTTAAAGTAAAAATCCGTCGAAAAAAATATACATATTTGTTAAAACTTTGAACATTTTGCCACCGTCTAACGTGCGTATTCGGTCCATCAAACACCACGTTACATAAAGGATTTACAATTATTAATAAAAGAATATGTGGCTCACCTTCCCCGTACATTTTCCCGTGCTTTTTGCCTATTCGCACGTCAAAACCTCTCCTGGCGATAGCCTCGAGGTTCTCTCGATACGTCCCGTGGAACAAGCGTTTCTCATCGGCGTCAAGGCCATTCAGATCTTGCACTATTTGTTTGCGTTTCCTGATCAGGTGTAAAAAAAAAAATCTTACGTTTCAATTGAATATAAAAACAACACAGAGATATAAGATATCCAGGTTTTACAAAGTTTTTCGTGCCCTGTGACGCTCGCCGGGATTGACGAAACATTTATAACTGTCAGCTACGTCAAAGTGTTCTAATTTTGTACCAAAATAGTTCATCATCATCATCATCATCAATGGCACCTCAGCCCATTTGGGGCCCTGGCCTGCTTCACCTCATCTTTCTATTCGGATCGATCCTTGGTTTTCGCCTCGGATCCAGGACCCGCAGCTGATGCAACTCCTTCTTTTGATCATCAATCCATCTAAGTCTTGGTCGACCGGTGAGCCGTCTGCCCTTTGGTTTCTGGCTACATCACAAATACAGTTGGAATTTGTTTCAATACACATTTGTGTATACTATCTCTCAGTGATGGCATCTCAAATTTCCAGGAACATGTTCTATAAAGGCAGGTAATTTCTATGAAGGCAGGTAATTTCTGTAAGGGCATGTAAGTTTTACGAACACATTCTGTTAAATACTTTTACATTTTTAGGATAATAAAACACCGGCTCATTATAAGCTTTCGTAATTTTAAGAACTGGTTGCTGTGAACCGGGGCGAACAGATAGAATCACACCGATGACTAGACATGTATTATGCCTGCGGTGACCTGCGCGGAGCGACCTGCAATCATTAAACGTAAGTCTGTGGTCACAAACGTGTGGTGTCACGAAATCGTCGCCTGCCTCAACTAAAAGAAAAGCTGGATTCGACTGCCGAGGGGGGGGGGGTGGGGGTGGGGGGTGGGTGGCCCTCCCAGGTCGTCAGCCAAAGTAGGGGTTTCTTGGAGTAACCGTCGAGACCGGAGGGCTAAAGTCACTTTTCCCACCACCTGGTCTCGGCTAAATTATGAAATCGTCGCCTGCCTCAACTAAAAGAAAAGCTGGATTCGACTGCCGAGGGGGGGGGGGGGGGGGGGGGGGGGGGGTGGCCCTCCCAGGGCGTCAGCCAAAGGAGGGGGCTCTTGGAGTAACCGTCGAGACCGGAAGGCTAAAGTCACATTTCCCACCACCTGGTCTACGCTAAATTAAACAAAACTGTCGTCTGACCAATAAACTTAAGAGTGCAGAGATCAATGCTGAACACTTCACAGAGATAAGGTCATTATGAAACCAAGCGTAGCCTGCTACGAGTTCATCGTCGCACAATATATTCAATATCCCGTGAGCTGGTCCACGTTAACTTCTGCTTGACTTATAGAAAGAGGGGGTCGGTCCAAGATTATGATGGAGTTAATAGGTTCCCTACCATTGTTTTTTTAAATAATACAAAAAGTTGCAGGAACACGTTACTTCGTTAACTCATTTGCTTAAATTTCTATGTCGCAGGGGGGTAGGGTGGGTATGGGTGTTGGGTGGATGTACTAATCTACAGCGTTTAAATTGATTTAAAAAACCAAAAACACGAAATTTCGGTACAATAAAATCGTGGGGATTATCTAAATGTTATGGACACTATAGATATAACAACTTAGAGAGCAGTGAAATGGAGAAGATTATCTCAATGTTATGGACACTATAGATATAACAACTTAGAGAGCAGTGAAATGGAGCAGATTATCTAAATGTTATGGACACTATAGATATAACAACTTAGAGAGCAGTGAAATGGTGCAGATTATCTAAATGTTATGGACACTATAGATATAACAACTTAGAGAGCAGTGAAATGGAGCAGATTATCTAAATGTTATGGACACTATAGATATAACAACTTAGAGAGCAGTGAAATGGAGCAGATTATCTAAATGTTATGGACACTATAGATATAACAACTTAGAGAGCAGTGAAATGGTGCAGATTATCTCAATGTTATGGACACTATAGATATAACAACTTAGAGAGCAGTGAAATGGTACGGATTATCTCAATGTTATGGACACTATAGATATAACAACTTAGAGAGCGGTGAAATGGAGCAGATTATCTCAATGTTATGGACACTATAGATATAACAACTTAGAGAGCAGTGAAATGGAGCAGATTATCTCAATGTTATGGACACTATAGATATAACAACTTAGAGAGCAGTGAAATGGAGCAGATTATCTCAATGTTATGGACACTATAGATATAACAACTTAGAGAGCAGTGAAATGGAGCAGATTATCTCAATGTTATGGACACTATAGATATAACAACTTAGAGAGCAGTGAAATGGAGCAGATTATCTCAATGTTATGGACACTATAGATATAACAACTTAGAGAGCAGTGAAATGGAGCAGATTATCTCAATGTTATGGACACTATAGATATAACAACTTAGAGAGCAGTGAAATGGAGCAGATTATCTCAATGTTATGGACACTATAGATATAACAACTTAGAGAGCAGTGAAATGGAGCAGATTATCTCAATGTTATGGACACTATAGATATAACAACTTAGAGAGCAGTGAAATGGAGCAGATTATCTCAATGTTATGGACACTATAGATATAACAACTTAGAGAGCAGTGAAATGGAGCAGATTATCTCAATGTTATGGACACTATAGATATAACAACTTAGAGAGCAGTGAAATGGAGCAGATTATCTCAATGTTATGGACACTATAGATATAACAACTTAGAGAGCAGTGAAATGGAGCAGATTATCTCAATGTTATGGACACTATAGATATAACAACTTAGAGAGCAGTGAAATGGTACGGATTATCTCAATGTTATGGACACTATAGATATAACAACTTAGAGAGCGGTGAAATGGAGCAGATTATCTCAATGTTATGGACACTATAGATATAACAACTTAGAGAGCAGTGAAATGGAGCAGATTATCTAAATGTTATGGACACTATAGATATAACAACTTAGAGAGCAGTGAAATGGTACGGATTATCTCAATGTTATGGACACTATAGATATAACAACTTAGAGAGCAGTGAAATGGTGCAGATTATCTCAATGTTATGGACACTATAGATATAACAACTTAGAGAGCAGTGAAATGGTGCAGATTATCTCAATGTTATGGACACTATAGATATAACACCTTAGAG